ACTGTTATGTAGACATATAATTGGTTGAATAACTGCAAGCAAAGCATAACTATCAATGAGTCAGTGTCAGAATGTCAGAGGGTTTCAAGGTTTCCAAGGGGTCTATTCTGTACTTTGGTAAGGGTTTCATAGCAGTGTAGCAGTTTGCTAGTTCAAGGATCCTGGGGCAGTAAGCAATAGAGGTGATTAGGATTACACACTGCCTAGGCAATGGGCCAGCTGCCTTAGATAATTAGTTGGCAGGAAGATAAAAGGCTTCCAGGAAGGGTAGCCAAGGGAGAGAGACTTTGGGCACCTACACATGAGCAGCAAGGCTGCTCTGACATGTGGTAATTGCAGTGTCGGAGCAGACTCAATTAACTGAGTCTACTGGATTGTGGGAATTACTGTGCACCAGCAGCTTCCACTGTCTTGTGTATCAGGGTTCCTGCATTTCAAAATGGGGCTGGGGGTGCTTTATCTAAAGTTCGTTCAATGAGCTTTAGATAAAGTACTCCCACTGCCATTTTGAAATGCAGGGACACTGATACACTAGATGCTCTTGGTGCTTTTATTAGTGTGTCCATCTGAGCTGCTCTGATTAAAGCCCACCCCCAAGAGCATGTGCATAAATATCCTTTGTGAAGAAACCAGAGGGAGAGAGTTAGGCTCCTAGGAAGAGGAGCTACAGCAGGGGTGAGAAAAGTGGCAGATGCAGCCAGTGGGTGAACTCCATTTCCTGGCAAGCCCTGTCCACATGGCTCCTGACCCTCTCCATGGAGGACCCAGGAACAGGGGGGCCATGACAGCGTGGGGCCATTGAACTGCCATAAGTGTGGATCACGGCTCTGCCCCACCCCTGGCCCCACACCCCCAGGGTCTCCATGCAGACCATAGGGGAGCAGCGCAGGCAGAGCGTGTGGCTAGGTGAGGAGCTGCTCTGGTGCTGGGGAGACCCAGGATCTTGAGGCAGTGACAGTGCAGGGCTGGAGCCAGGGCTGAGCCGTGATCTGCTCCCCGCATGCCCTTGCCCGCAGAACCTGTGCTCATCGCAGGAGCCACAGGCAGCAGATTGTGGCTCTTCCCCAGTCTCACCCCCATGCTGTCACCACTGCAAGATTCCAGGTCTTCCCAGACTCACCTGCCTATCTTGCTCCTGGCCATGGCCCCATTCCAGTTGCTCAACTGTGTGCACTGCCTGCATGGGTCCCACCCCCCGTGGTGGGTGCAGGGTGGATGGGCCGGGGTGCTGGGACAGCAGGACTGGGTCTGGCAGTGGCAGCCAGAAGGAGCAGCTACTGAAGGGGCTCCTGGCAAATGGAGTCTGCCACAGGGCAGATCTGGCCCACGGGCTGGGCTTTGCCCACACCTGAGCTAGGGACAGGCAGACAGCTGAGAGGCCAAGAGCTGAGAATGGAGAGCTGGGTCAGTTCATGGTCAAGCCCAGTACTTATGTCCTGAGAGTTGGCTGGAGGCTGTGAAAAGGATAGTAAGATATGGAGAGAGCCTGAGTGTGCCAAGGGTTAGGTGGACTGTGTCCTGCCAGGAGGGAGTTTCCCCAGGAGGAATAAAGACAGTGTAAAGGCTGTAAACAAGTAGTGAAAGACTGGGTGTGGAGCTAATTAACCCCAAAGGGTGCTACAGGATACAAATCCTTGGTAAAATAGGATTAAAGTTTAGGAGGATCTTGATGAAGGATTACAGACAGTGAATGATGTTCACCAAAGACAAATATACGATCCACACACAACTGGAATAGCTGGGTTTGCAGCTGCATCACCAACAAGGATCTGGGGTTATATTTGGATGGCCCACTCAGCATGAATGTATTGAGTCAGTAACGTGATGCTTTCACAAAAAGGCAAATGCAATTTCAGATTGCATTAACAGAAGTATTGCATGTAATAAACTGAGATATGATAATACCCCTCTGGCAGTGGTTAGACCTTAGCTAGAGTATAATGTCTAGTTCTGGACAGCATTTAAAAAAAAAAGATGTAAAGAATCTGGAGAGGATCCAGAGGCAAAGAACAAAGCTGATCAAGGAGTTGGAATGTAAGCTGTATGGGTAGGGACCTACCAAACTCACAGGCACTGGTGGCCAGTTACATCCTTCTAGGAGACATTTTTTTGCCAGCTCTTTGCCAGCTTTTTTAACATATCCAGTTCCCCACGCTTTTTCAGGGGGAACTGGCTATTTCATGGGAGACTGCCAATTATATGATTTCTGTGAAAGCTGTGAAATTGTGTATTTGGTAGCTCCCTATGTATGGGGAAGGATTGGAAGGACTAGGTGCATCTGGTTTGGTTGATAGGAGTTTGGAAATATTTGAAAGGCTGCCATAAGGGGGCTGCTGAGGGTAGGACATAAAGCATTGAGTTTAAACTGCAACCTAGCCGATTTACATTGATGTAAGAAAAACTTCCTAATTGTAATAACCATAGGAAAACAGAACAAGCTGCCTAGGGAAGCTGTGGAAGATCCTTTCTTGGAGGTTTACCTTATGAAGGATGGTTTAAGAATGATACATCTGGAAGCTTTGCAGGGGGTTGGTCTAGATCAGGGGTGTCAAGCATATGGTCCATGGGCTGAATTCAGCCCATGGCGCTGTATGGTCCAAACTGTGAGTCGCTAGACCGACCCATGTGCCAGCCCCAGCCCCATGTACTGCATGCAGCACATGGGCTGGACCCAATGCTGGAGGTCAGTCCAGGCTACCACATGCAGCCCAAGCCCAGGAACCCCTGTGCTAAGTGCACAATGAGCACTGTCCCCTGGGACTGGCGTGTGCTGCGTGCAGTGCACAAGGCTGGAATATACACACTGCCCACAAACGCTGGCACTGCAGATGCTCCACAGGAGGTCGGTCCAGGTCCAGCCTGCAGACCAGCTCAGCAATGCTCATCTGGCCCGTGGGTGCAGATGAGTTTGGTACCTCTGGTCTAAATGATCTCTGATGTCCTTTCTAACCCCGTGATTGTCTTTGGAGTTTTTTCTTTAACTCTCCAGGTTTGGGAATCATGTGATTACATAAGAGCCTCAAGTTCTATTTACAACAAAAAAAAAAATCTCACAATGTCTTGAAGAGTCTGAAAATGTAAAGTCTAGTGCTCAAGCAAAAGAGGGCAAATAAATGCCCCTTGAATTTACTATCCAAAAAGCTCGTTAATTTCAGTCTCATGATTTTGGGGACTTGGAAGAAGGGTTTTGGTAGGACTGGGACTTTATCCATCTGTCGACTTCAAATGACTTGCTGTGTCCCAGCCTGCACCACCTATGCCTACCTGCCCTTTTATTGCACAGGTTGTGTCCAGTTCACCCCTTCCCAAGTTATCTTTTTATGCCACCCTCATGTATCCTTCTACTTGTTCTTCCAGATCTCAGCCTGCACCATCCAACATACCTGCCCAGCCACATCCCACCTTGTGGTACCACTAACCCGTCCACTTCACTTGTGTTCCAGCCGTGTCATAATCACTACCTACTGGGTACACCTACACGAGATGCTACATCGTATAGCAATGAGCTATGGCAATATAGCTTGTTGCTATGGCAACATAGCATTAGTGGGCATGAACCATGATACTGCCGCTACTGCGCAGTAGCTCATTGCTACTGTGCAATAGGGTCAGAAACAATCTGTGCAGCACTGGGACTACTCAGTACCAGTAGTTACTTGCTTTAGTAAGTACTAAATGTCTGTGCAGTAATAACTGCACAGTTGAGTGCATGTGTAGACATGCCCTGCGTTTCTTACTTTGTGCCACTGGGCCATCAAGTGAGATGGCAGTCCATTGGTGGCACACCTAAGTAGTAGAAGTCAGGGTAGATTTGCGCCTAAGTGAATGCAGCAGACCCATGATTTAATTCATCCATCGTTTAGTTTTAAAAGCAATAACATTATGAATTGTCAGGGATAACTCCTTTAATTCACTCACACCATTCCTTGTTGCTTTGCTATTACTTAGCAAACTGCTGAGCAGCTGAAGTGCTGTCCCAGCAGCACAGCTTCCAAAGCATTGGGTGCGATCTGGACATAGTTTTGGTGTTGACTGATATTTCATAGATTTCATAGACACTAGGGCTGGAAGGGACCTCGGAAGATCATCGAGTCCAACCCCATGCTCAAAGGGCAGGAAGTCAGCAGGGGTCATAGGATCCCAGCAAGATAGACATCCAAATGTCTCTTGAAGGCGTTCAAAGTAGGTGCTTGAACTACCTCCAGCGGCAGTCTATTCCAAACCTTGGGGGCTCAGACAGTAAAGAAGTTCTTCCTTATGTCCAGCCTGAAACGGACATATGTAGGTTGCAAAATAATATTTGGTCAGGTTTCATGAAGCAAAAGCCACAGAGGTTTTAAGTGAACTAGTTGGTTCCAGCTGGAATTAGTCTGATTATTGCCCAGCACGCTTCAGGGCAAAAACTAGATTGGTTGGGTGTCTTCAGTATTTATGGCTAGAAATTAATTTGTTTAGATTTCCTATAAATTTGGAGCTAAGGCTAAATTTAAAACGAATGTTTTAGGGATAGTTAACATTGTTATATGTTCTTTTTAACATAAAACTCACTATAGGTTCAACTTAAATTTACTCTTAGTGCAGCTTTTATCTGGGAATATTGATTATGCTCTCTGTAATAATTTGACAGGCAAATTATATTTACAGTGATGTCTTCAGGAACTAGAATGCCTCTAGGACTTTCTTATCATGCTTTTTTTTCCTAGGATGAAGCTACCAGATGTGCTATGAGGTGTTTGCAGTGTGAGAATTTCAGCGTGTTTGTGCTTTTCTTAAAGTTGAGCAATGCTAGTAGCATCTCAGTTTTTTCTCCCCCTTAAGACTGATTACTTTTGCTTTCCTAGTTGACCTGCAAAGCCCATCATTTTTAAGCACGTTTTTATCAAACATAGATTCCTTTTGAAGATTTCTTGCAAATATTAAAGCCTGTTGAATGCAGACCTAATCATACTATGCTACTGTATGGTTTGGGGGAAGTCCCAAAAGGCTCATTAGGCTGTTACCTTGCACACTAGAGATAATCACAGTTATAGTCTCATGTTTAATCTCATCTCTTTCGTGGAAGCCTCTATTTGTATATTTTTTAACCATACAGGCAACCCTCACCATTCGCAGGGGATATGTTCCTGTGATGCCCATAAATGGTAAAATCCGTGAATAGGGCACTGCATTCATGAATGCAGTCTGCTTTCATGGACGCAGTGCCCCTGGTGGCTGGGGGTGGGGCGGGGCAGGGGCATGGCTCCAGTGGCAGGAGCCTGGTGGCGGCAGCGGGAGTCTGGTGGCAGCAAGCACAGAACTCCCAAGGAGCTCCAGTAAGTGTTTAAAGTATATTTAAAATGTGGGTTCAGCATTTGTGAATATTTGAAACCGCAAATGCTGAACCCACGAATACTGAGGGTTTCCTGTATATCTTAATAGAGACACAAATTTTGCCATATTTTATGGGCTTTCTTTTTCATTACATCTGTTCAAAAAGTTAGAAAGTTCCTTCCTGCATGCCAGATCAAAAATGCTTATAATGTAAGACCCTTCACAAGTAATTAAGGAAGCACTGAAAATAAGGATACTGAAGAGAAGCCATGTGGTTTTTCTGCTCCTATAGCTGAAGGTTAATTTGCTATCCCCACATTTCCCATCTGCTATTCAGTGGTTCTGCCCATTTCTTCTGGACAGTAACACCAGAAAACTCAGTCTTTTACTTCAGCTTCTGCTACATATAACTATTCCTTCAAGGGTCTTTCCTGTTTCCCAGAGATCTTTAGTTTTTGTCTTCCTTTTACTAACAGGAGTAGCTGCACCTCCTTACAGGGAGGCAACACAGGGGCTGTCAGCCATTCCCACCTCCTCCCCATTTCAGAAATGAAGCTGTAATCTCAAACATTTTTGTTATAATTTACTAAAAAAAAAACACAAAAGAGGAAATTACAAAATTCAATTACATTTTATTCAAATAATAAATGATATGTAATAAAAATAACATAGCTAAGTGACAAACTAAACATTAAACACGAAATTAATAACAAATAAAAACTTTGTTCACCAAGATTCCAAGACTCAGAAGACAACTCTGCATGCCTTTGCTGCCACAACTCTGATATTGTTTGTGATGGGTCTATATTTTGAGCAACAGCATTTTCAGTAGATACAATGGCCAGCAAAGATAGCTTGCTGTTTCCCATGGTTGAATGATCACAAATATGTTTTTATGAGCTTCAGCTTTGAGAAACTCATTTGCTACTTGCCACTGATATGGGCTTGGTTAATAGGATCTTGAGTGCTCCATGTGCTTGAGAAGTTGTCATGAGAAGTTAATTGTCATAAATAAATTGTAGAACTTCTTAAGGAGCACTACAACTTGTTTGAAGTAGACTTTCTTTCTTTAGTCTAATTTTTTTTATTTCTTTAGATAGCCAAGTTCTTTGGCGAGGTTGACGGTGTTAATGTCAGAGCTCTTTCCATATGTCAATGCACAGTATACATCCTACAATGGTTCTTCATTTTTTTTTTTGTGAGGGAGTCATGTAATCTTACATAGAAAGCCCCAAAGGTTCACATGTTGCAAGTTTGAACCTGACTTCTGGATTGTTAATTGTTTTATTTTTACATGCATAGCTAAATTGATACTTTTTACGGTGAGCGCAAGGGGCTGCTTTAAACACTAGATCAACACCAAGATTTTCAGCTATTTCCTTGGTTGTTGTCAGAACTCCTTTGTACATGACTTCCCTGTAGTTTACAATATAGTCATGACAGGCATTTATTAAGTTTGTGGTCGGCAAAAAGTAAAACAAGTGTCCTGGCACTTACTTGCAAATGTTTGCACACTGTTCCTAGAGCATCTTGGCATATGCTTGCACACACTGGCGTGCCCTTGCAAATGCTCAGCTGCCTCCCTCCCCACGGGTGGTGCAGCTCTGGTATGTATTACTATTCAGGAAGCTAAGGGAGTTAATGGCTCGTTAATGACCAACTGTTCTTTACTTCAGGTGTATTAACAATCATCTTCCTTAGGTGCCAAAGCTGCACCCACCCTCACTTGCAGAGCTGCACTGAGCCCTGGACAGTCGCCCACACTGTGCACCCCTAAGACTGGCTCTGCCTGAAATAGTTGCATTTGATTTTGCTTTCATCTTCAACTAAATAATATAGTGCTAGCCCCCTAACGTATTAGTCAAGCATCCAGTTTCTTTTTAGCTGGAGAAAAATGTGCGTTGTGTTATATGTGGTGATGTACCACACCACCTGCACCCCTTTTTCAAAAGTCTAGATTTGCCCATAGGGTGAATACTGTGATACTGACTATTCTCAGGTAATCATGAGTGAAGTGTTAGAAGAATAAGTGCTGAAACCATCTTTGCAAATCGTCCTGAGGAGTGTCCTGAATTCCCCTCCACATTATGCTCATTCACTTTGCCGTGTTATTATTACTATGCTTTCAATAACAAATGAAAGTGGTTCCAGTGTAAGGATTAGATGTGATACAAACACGCCACAGTCTGAGCTGTGCCTGTAACCATGGAAACAGCATGATCAAATATACAAGACCTCATTTTCATCTGAGCTTCTGGAACTGCTTATATAGGGCAGCAGGACCCAGTATTTTTTTTTTTTGGGTGGGGGGGGGAAGGTGGGAAATTGATTCATGTTCTTTTGTTTTCTTTATGCTACAGAGAAGGCTTGAAATGTGTTTTGGAAACAATGTTTCTTCTACTCTAGTCAAGTTTCAGGAACAGATTAATACAATAAACTCAAGAGAGAGTGATAACAGGCAAATGACTATTGTAAGACTGCCTGGAGCCCCTATTCCAAACCAACTTGCACATCTATCAAGTGTCCTTAATGTTTGGGATGAAAAAAAATCATATTTTCTCTTCAAATGGGAGTAATTGTAAGCAAAATAGCACCTTGGGCTTATTAGCAATATTCTCTCCCCCCCCCACACACAAAAAAAAGAGACTTAAACCTATTTTTATGCTGCTATCATACTGATCAGCCAGATATGCTTAGGTTGGCTGCTGGGCCTAGCATGCATTTCTCCAACTTGATCCAAATAGAGTTGCCTAAGAAGCCTACAGGTATCAGCCTAGAAATGGTCTCAGGGGTGTCAAACCTAGAGTCCACAAGTCACATCTGGCCTGTGGAGCTGCCATCTGGCCTGCAGTGGCTGGAAATTCAGGAGTGGGATGAGCAAGAGTGGGGCCTGCTGCCAAATTCTAGTGTCCAGAGCCCTGTTGGGGACATGTTTCAGCAGGGGAAGCAATGGCTCCATTAATCCCCATGATTCCATGATGCCAATCTCCCCATCACTGCTGCTCACCCTGCCACTGGAGATGAGTCCAGTAAGGAGCCCTATGGTCAGGATGCATCCCAGGGGCCCCAAATGAGTTTGAAACCTCTGGTGTGTCTCATTCCAAGTAACATTGCTTGGAGGCAATGCCATTCAATGCGAACAGTGCAACAGCACCCCCCTCAGTGTAGTGCTTCCTACACAGACGGCAAGTCTCTGAACTACATCCCCATTCAAAACACTGTTTCAGAATGAATGCAGCTGTGGTTTGCCCACACAGAGATCTGTAGTGCTGCTCTTTTGATTAGTCTTGGCTTAAACCAAGAGTGCTCAACAGATCCAGTCCCTCGTGCCATGTCATCTGGCCCACAGGGCTCCAGACTTTGTGGGCTGTGGTCCTACATGCTAGATTGAGTGTGCAGGGTGGTGCAGGCCCCAACCCCAGCACACAGGGGTCCCCAGATCCTGGCTAGGTAGGAGTGGAATGGGGTCCCTGGAGCCTGATCCCCGTGGCCTGAGCAGGTCCCTGCAGCATGATCCCAGCACTCGGGGGTGGTGCGGGGCCCAGTCCAGCCCATGGCTCAGCCCCGCACCATTCATCTGGCCTTTGCGGGCAAGACTGTGAGCACCAGTGGCCTAAACCAAGACTTCATGGGCCATGCTAAGTAAATGTCCTTGGTGGAAATCAGAATGTGCTATCGCTGACCACCTAGGTCACTGGGCATGAAACATGGCCACCTGCAAGCCAGCTCCAAATCACAAGTGCTGAGGTGATTTAAAAAATCCTAGTGCCTGAACCATGGGAAGGTAAGAGCAGAAACCTGCTTTTAGCTGGAGCTCTGCCTTTCTTTTACCGCTGGATTCAGCAGCTAGATATGGCGGAGATTGATTCTCTTTCTAAGAGTGACAGAGGCACAGGTGCAGATTGAGGGGGACACCTAGAAAAGATCAGCTGCCTCTGAGTATGTAGGGTAAGCCTCCACTCCAACCTAGTGGCCACCTACCCCAGCTATGGGAAACAGTTGCCTGGCTATGGGAGCAGAGACTTCCCGGTGGGCCAAATCATCCTGTGAAGGAAAACCGCGGAGTCCCCCTGGAGTCAGTAGGGACCAACTGGGCCCACACAGACTCAACATGGGTTTACCAGACAGCAAAGGACTGGCTTCTCCCTGGCAGGATGGGCCCAACTGCTCACATACCCCTGCGTGGGCTTTTTCATCAACCTCAGAGGGCTGGCAAGCTCTTCTTCTTCATCGTCTTTGTCTTCTTCGTCGTCTTCTTAGTCTTTGTCTTCGTCATCTTTGTCTTCTTCATCTTGTTGTTTTAACCATAATCATTATTATTGTCATTATTATTACTATTATTGTCCTTATCATTATTGTTGTTATTTTAATCATCATCCTCATTATTATTATAACTATTATCATCATTGTTATTATTACTATTCCTGTCATTGCTATTATCACTGGCACACGTGTGATTATCAGCAACATTAATATGATCGATAGCATTAATATTATGACTACCATTCACAGGATGATTACTAATATTGCTACCGTCATGACTAGCCTCGTTATTTGTTATCGCTGCTATTATCATCACGATTCCTGTACTTGCTCTTTCACTCTATGGTTTCATTTTACTAAACACCTTTACCAGTTTTTACGATAAATGCTTCTTTCTTATCTCCCTTTCTTCATTGTCGTGGTCCGCACTTCTCCTGCAAGCAGCAGGCTCAACCGTGCGTGCGGGCCGCCGGGAGAGGGCGGCGGAGGAGCAGGGCGCAGCCGAGGCAAGGAGCCCCAGGCCGGTCGGGCAGAACATGGAGCTTCCTGAGCGCCGGAGGAAACCTCTTACACAGGCGGCTCGTTGGTCTAGGGGTATG